TATCGTAAATATGAATGTAATTTCATCTGCCAAAAAAGGCGCGACTGGCAAAGAATGTCCGTAGGCGTTAAGATCGCCTATTGTTACTCTATTTATAAATGAGTTAACAAAAAACATTAAATAAATGTAAAAAAGTGAAACTTCCACACTTAAATTAAATCTGAAAGAATTCACCCAAAACGTTCGTTTCTCTGTATTTTTTTATATTTCTATATATTTTTATATTCTTTATCTTTGGGTTCTAAACAAAAAATCCAGCAGAGCTTAGCATGTTGATATTGTACGATGTTTAACGGTAATAGAGAACTATAAAAATGAATGAAATCTGTGATAAGTCCAACGAATTTCAATTATCGTGAGATTTATCATTCTCATAAATTCTTTAATAATTTTTTATTAGAATTAACAAATTAAGAAAGTCAACTTGGCTATCCCCGCAGATCAGGGCCGGAAAACAGGGTCATTGGTGCGCCATGTGCTATGATCATCAGTATGGTTGCAATGCATGACGATTAGAGCAAATTACAATCCCAATACCGGGAGAGGCCGTTGTGCAGCAGTGAAGTTTAACAGGCCAAAGATTATGATGATGATGATGAAGAAAAATAATGATTTAAGGAGTATCAATAAAATGAAACTTCGATACTGCAAACATTTATTGATAATTATTATTATAAACAGACAGTAAACTTATAACAGTCTATGATCAGATTACTATGGTTAATGCTTAATATGTAATAGCAAATGCAGTAGAGTTAAGGAAAATAACCTTAGAATACACAGACAGTGTTCCTGCTTCGTGAAATCCGCTTTTAAGCCGTCACATAAAAAGTGTAATACGAACTTTTCTTGATGCAATCTACACTGCTCGACATTAAAAAAAACTTCGAGGACGTATTGTGAAGTCCGATAACACATACTGGAGTAGCACGGCGGATATTTTGTTGCCCTAAAACCCTCATAAAATGGGAGGAGGCTTAGGCGTAGGATGGGGCTGTACAGACTAACTTTATTTCTTTACTTATAAGCGGTAGCAAATCGACCAACGGTTGTCAAACATTAGCTGATAAATTATCTTGTATAACATCGGTGCCGGATTTCATAGAGGTTTCAATAAAATATGCCTATATTTAATGGATTATTATTTGTATGTTGGCAGCGTAAAACAGTCCATCATACCATGTGTATCGTGAGTGTCGTAAGAGAGAGAAAAACTATAGGAAAATTACAAAGATCTTGCATCGACACACACATATTTGTATGTACGTACAAGTTAATGTTGACGCGCGTATTTTAAAGCAGTGCCCATCATATGTCGTCCCCAATGCCACTGTGGTTAATTGTAGTCAAGCAAACTTGTAATCTGCCCTGTTTCGATAATTATACCGCTTTTCTACTATAAGTAATATCATTATTTAAATTTTGTTGCCAAGTTCCTTCCTCTGTGGTGCTCATTGAGAGGCAAGTCTCAGCCATGGTTTGGTCGCTCCTGTAAAATAGCATCATGCTATAAGCAGGAGTGCTACCAAGCCTGGGCTGATGCATCAGCGTCCCGGGATGTAAACACCAGCGCTCTAAAAAAAGAAGTATAATTCCGCCTCTAGGTCCTTCAAAAGAGTCATTGCCAAGGCAAAGTCAGAGCACATAGGCAGAATTGGCGAGAAACTAGTTCGCATTCCTTCTGGAACCCGTGCATTCTGGTCTCTCGCCAAGGGCTGTCCAAGGGAACTTCTGTCAGCCATCTCTTCCATCTCTGCACAGGGAGGACGACTCACTGGCCCATACCGCAAAGGAGAAAGCCGATCTTCTAGGCTCTTTCTTTGCGTCTAACTCGACTCTCGATGACGGGGGGAGTACTCCGCCGACCATCCCGCGGTGTGAGTGCTCCATGCCGGAAGTGCACTTCACACAGCGCTCGGTTCGCAAAGCACTCCTCTCCCTGGACATCCACAAGTCGAGTGGGCCTGACGGAATCCTCCCAATTGTGCTGAGGACGTGTGCTCCAGAGTTGGCACCGGTTTTAACGCATCTTTTCCGGTACTCCTACTCCCTAGGCGTAGTCCCAAAATCATGGAAGACGGCTTACATCCACCCGATCCCTAAAAAAGGCGACCGCTCTGACCCGTCCAACTACCGGCCAATCGCCATCACCTCCTTGTTCTCCAAAACAATGGAGTCCATTGTAAACTGCCAGCTCATGAGGTACCTTGAAGATCACCAGCTGATTAGTGACTGAATACGATTTTCGCCGTGGTCGGTCAGCTGGTGACCTTCTGGTCTACCTAACTCACAGATGGGTGGAGGCAGTAGAGTTCAAGGGGGAGGCATTGGCCGTTAGTTTGGACATTGCGAAGGCCTTCGATCGGGTTTGGCACAAAGCGCTTCTTTCGAAGCTCCCTTCCTATGGGCTTCCCGAGAAATTGTGCGATTGGATCACCAGCTTTCTTGCAGATCGGAGCATCAAGGTCGTTGTAGACGGTGCAAGCTCCGATTGCAAGCCTATTAATGCTGGTGTTTCACAGGGCTGCGTGCTATCGCCAACGCTGTTTCTTCTGCATATCAATGACATGTTGCATACCCGTAACATTCATTGCTATGCACATGACAGCACTGGTGATGCTCTTTACACCGGCCGAGCCAATATTTCTCGGGAAAACGTCTCTGAGTGCCGGTACAAACTTGTGTCTGAAGTCGAGTCTCTGCTGGACAGAGTCTCGGATTGGGGGCGACTAAATCTAGTCCAGTTTAACCCCCAGAAGACACAAGTTTGCGCGTTAACCACTAAAAAGAACCCCTTAGTCGTATCCCTTCAGTTTCAAGGCACTCCCCTTGTTGCCTCAGCCAGTATCGGAATCCTCGGCGTCGACATATCGAGTGACGTGCAGTTTCGTGGTCACTTGGAAGGGAAGGCCAAATTGGCCTCTAAAAAGCTTGGCGTGCTCAGCAGAGCGGGACAGTATTTCATGCCGGCACACCGCCTGCAACTTTACAAGGCGCAGGTTCGGCCGCACATGAAATACTGTTCCCATCTCTGGGCTGGGGCTCCCCAGTACCAGCTTCTTCCACTTGACCGCATCCAGCGCAGAGCGGCTCGAATCGTCGACGACCGAGTGCTTTCCGATCGGCTCGATTCACTGGCGCTGCGAAGAGATGTTGCATCTCTTTGCGTATTTTATCGCATCTATCACGGGGAGTGCTCTGAGGAATTGTTCGGATTAATCCCAGCCGCCAAATTTCGTGAACGCACTACACGTCAAACGTCCCGATACCATCCACACCATCTGTATGCTTGGCGGTCCACCACTGTACGTTTCACAAGGACTTTTCTTCCACGTACAACCTCTCTGTGGAATAGTTTACCACCGGCGATTTTTCCGGACCGATACGACCTGGGGACCTTCAAGAAAAGAGCTTACTCCTTTCTAAAGGGCCGGCAACGCACCCGCAATTCTCCTGGTGTTGCGGTTGATCATGGGCGGCGGTAGTCACTTAACATCAGGTGAGCCGCATGCTCGTTTGCCCCTTCTTCTATAAAAAAAAAAGTGACTGAAAAAAATCAAGTTAAAAGTTAACCGCTGTTATATTTATGATCCCAGAAGCCAAAGAATAATTTAATCGTAGAATGGTGACCCGTATCATATCACGTAAAGGATGGCTATTCAACCATTCTCTTACGTAACTAGATATAAAAACGCCAAAACCAGCGTCATGTACCAGTATTACAGATGCGAGACGTCTACTAGACCGTGGTATAACATCCGCCATTTAGTCTGCTACACTTGAATTATTATAGGAAAACCTCACTACGACGGAAATAACTTATGTCCAGTAGCGAAACGACTCCTTAGTGCTGGTTTTGTCCAAAAGCTTCGCTGTATTATTTTTCAAAAACTCGTTAATAACAAGAGCTGCAAAAGTAGTTATTATAGTTACCGAATTCATTTTGAGAACGAATGGAATAAAACCATTTATGTACCTTATATGTTTAGTAGAATCTGCCACGCTTAACGCCCTCTTGTAGAAGATGTGTGGGTTTGAAAACTTTACCTCCCTTCCCTAAATTAACTAAAGTAGGAAGAATTTTAGGAAAATGTTCTCGACTTGACGTAAATTATAATAAGGCATCTGGTAAGTGTATATTTTTTCATCGAACATTAGTTCGTATAATAATTATATTATGATTCACGTTTTTGTCTTCAAAAATACTCTTATCCGTATGTTTAATTTATGAAAAAATGTTTTTTAAGTATTTAAAACGTTATAATGTAGTAGATTTACACAGGTTTCAAAAAAAGGTTAAATAGTATCCCAACGTCGGCTTAACGAGCGAATTTCCGCAGCGGAAGTACAAATCGTATATCATGAGCATTACGATAAACTATACTAAAGTCAAATATAAATTGAATTCATTAAATATTTACATGAATAAAAACAAAAATAAAATGATCCGGAATGATATCAAAAGTAATAAAGTATAAACTTATTAACTAAACACAATTTCGCTTTACATTTAGTATACTCGTAGCTATCGTACTATTTTAATATTCATTAATATTAAAAACAAAATGGCTGTGCCTTAAGAAAATGTATATAAAGTCAGTATAGAATATAATTACCTAATAAAAATTACTTAAATTCTGATATAATATGTAACAAACTCATTTATATTTTGTTAATAATATATAAAAGAACACAAATTACACAGTCAGTACATAGAATTGGCAGCACATAGATACGTCTTGTGACAATAACTGGTAGATTTTAACTTATAGTATATATAATCAATCAGTCTTTTAACAAAGATAATATTTGGCAATCATTAATCAGTTCAGAAATTTCAAAAGGCTCTTAAATAAACGATGACTTATTTTTAGTCTATTATCTACTCTCCTATTTTAACTTTGGCGACTTATATTTAAATACTGATATGGTTATTTAAAAAGTTTCACTATAAAATAAACTTTAAATCATTTTGCACGTTTAAATTATGTTTCCTCTCGTTATCTATGATGGGGTGTACGGCAATGCCCTGAAATATAAAAAATGTTCATAAAATTCATAATTTATCGATTTTCCTTCTTTGTTATTCACACGTTACTTACGTCTTGGCATAGCAGTTACTGTAGCTTTTGAAGTGCTGTCACTATCGTCGGATTCTGAGCGATTTTGGAAACTTGTTTCTAGAAAATAAATATATTTTAGTTTTTACTTCAATACAAAGTAAAATTCATTTATATATTACAGCCTATCTAAATTTAACTGCTAAACATAATCATGTCCCACAAATTGCCTAAGGAGATATTTTCTACAGATGCCACGCTCAGAAGGCGAATTGGCAATTAATGTTTTTTTATTTATTTTTCGAGCTGTTGCCAGTAAGACTCTGCTGCCGACCTCCACTTTTAGTTTACCTCCATCGTCATTTACGATTTACTTTGGTACTTTTGATAGGCTGTGATGAATTTATTATTCGCAAGTGCGGGCGCTGTGAACATTTACATAAGAAAAATAGAAACAACAATTTATTTATCTTTGTCATATATTTCTACTTAAAATACTTAAATCTATTTTCTTAGCGCGTTTCTTAAAGTGATAAAATTTAATAAGACTTAGTAAAGTAAAGCAAATTTACAACCTATATACGTCCCACTGCTGGGCACAGGCCTGCTCTCATTTCTGAGAGGATTGTAGGGCAAGGAGTAGTCCACCGCGCTGCCCAGTGCGTGTTGGTTCACATGTCTTCGAAATATTTTTTTTTCTTATTTCTCAGACATGCAGATTTCCTCACGATGTTTTTCTTCACCGCCGAGCAAGTGGTAAATCAGCACATAAAATTGCAATTAACAATTTCATTGGTGCCGGCGGGGATCGAACCCGGTTTGCTCGCTAATAAGACTTACATGTAACCAATATTGATTAAAAATTATTCTATTCTTATTGCCTCATAGAATTGACACATACAATCCAAAAAAAAATGTTCGCTCCGTATGTCATTAAACACAACTTTAGCTTGGCTTACACAAGTAAATTCATACACAGACAGGCCACTTCTGGAGATCAAAATAAGTTATATTAAATAACTTACCAGTGTCAAACCTTGGTCTTCCCGGTAGTCGATTAGGCAGGTCTTGATTCTCGACATGTTCAAATGTCCGAAAGCCAAGTGCAAATTCCGCATAGGGACTAATTTCGAACATTTCTAAAAATATTTTAAACAAATACGTACTTGTTAATTTTTTATAATATATGTATTGTATTTAACAACAATGTACATAGGTTATTTCTAAACAACTTTAAACATCAAATACATTTGCACTCAAAGATAACTTATTGCATACGTCATTGTCACGGCTAAAAGCTGAAGTGCGGACACTTGGGTTCAGCTGGATACAACTGGTGCTGCCGATTGCCCAGCGAAGTGAGAGGGCATCAGCTAATTTGTCATAAATACGAAAGCGTGTAGCGAATAATATAAGCGACAGAAGGTTAAGGCACAGCTAATTATTTAATTTTTAAATTCAATTAAAGCTTATAAGGATACATCTAAGTTTAACCAACCACAATTGCTTAAACCTAGCTGGCTGTGTGTTCGGCCACATTCACACTTCGGCTTTTATCCGTGATATATAGAATAAAGGCTTTCAAATATTTTTATGTAGTACTTCATTAGTTAGTTGGTTCTTTTGTTACTTTATGATTATTATATTAGAAATATTAAAATGGTATCTTACCATTTTTAGTAGGTTTTCTAGGATGTATCGGTGACGTATATATTCGAGGCGTGTGGGCATAACGTTCCTTTTGCTCTGTGTGGACAGCGATAGGTTCATTCCGCGATTTAACTTCATCGGCGATGGAATGGCGGTACTGGGAAGAGTAACCTTGCCTAGGAGATATGTAAATATTTTTTTTATTAGGCATTACATATATTTGATAATAATTAAATTTGACTGCATCGTTGGTCTAATGGTTGGCTCGAATCCTGGGTCTTACCAAAATTAATTATTGGAATTTTCTACCAGTTATCGGATTTTTCTAGCAGTTATTGAATATTTTTAACAGAAGCAAGGACGACAAGGACAGAAGGTAGTTGACGATGTTTATCCGCGTACCTCAGAAAGTACGTAATGTTGTTATTAATGCAATTGATATCTAACATGTCGGATTGCTGTCACATTGAGCTATAATTATGAGGGAATAGAGAGTACAACTGTGTATGCGTGCACTATAATCTCAATTCGATATGGCAGCCGTGATTGAACTTTGGTTTTGAGAATATTAAGTAATAATTAAAAACATGTTTGAATTTCATTTACCTGTGTCTTTTAAACAATATGCAGATGAAAGCGAGCAAACAAATTATAAGGAGAATAGAACTGCATATTATTACAAGCATATTCAGGTCTAGAATTTCCGAAGGAGGGCCGATTTCTTCTGAAAAAGAAATACGTAAATATAAAAAAATGTCAAAGAGCAGTTGCGATTGTTTCAGTAATGTGTTTTTAGTGCAGTCAGAGAAGAGACTAAAGAATAGAACTCGCCGATGTAATGATGGAAAATTGGGTAATGATTGTGGGTTATATTTAATTGCATGACGATTTATTGCTTTTAATCGCCAGCTTTAAAGAACTTTACGCATATGCTTCCATTTCCAATTCAAGTAAGCATACACACAATCTACATAATTCAGACTGAATTCCGAAGTACGCACTGTATCCTATCCAAATTGGAGAAATATGTTTGTCGCTTTTACCCTCGAGAATCAAAAGTTTTGGCCATTTTTGTGACATTTTGCATACAGCTCTTACGTGTATACAAAATACCACTTCTTTACTACTATTACTACATGTATTTTCGACTGACGTCAATGCAGTAGAAATAAAGAGTTCTGGGTACAACTAACACCACCACCACTAATATGATTGCTCCGATTCGAATCGGAAGCAGTATGTAAATTTGGATAAAGTGCGCAACTTCTCATACAAAATGTACAAGGGTTACTTTGGATCAACATTTTATAGTTGTTATCGGAAATATGCTGCCCTCAATCTTCTGTTTCACTTTCCCTCTTTCGCCTCTTTCAACACCTATGAGATGATAGTAGTAGGGTATTCCTTTACGTTGTAGAGGATTTCCTAATATAGGTGGTGAATTTCCTTACGTCTCCACTACAAAGTGATAAAAAACTTTTATTGATTACGACCTTTTTTACCACTACTCATTCAAATAAACCGATAAGGAAACGAAAACTTTTGTTTCATATATGTAAACAGCAATATTGTTGAATATTACCTACATAATTGCGTTTTAGTAACAAAGTACAAAGTCTGATATGTAACAAAAATATAATAAAATCAAGTTTATATTAAAATTTATGTTACAAAAATTATAATAAAGAACTTAACTAAAATAATAATTAAAATTATAATATTTACGATTAAAACTAATTATATACAATATAAAAGAAGAAACTATAATATAGAAAATCTAAAACTAAAAATTTAAATCGTCAAAAAGACCTGCTCCCCGTGGTATAGTGCCAAGAACGCTGGCTGCGTTTCCTCGCTGAATAGCTATACTAAGCCTTTGAGCGAGGAAAGAACCAGCCCTCTTATCACCAGCAGCGACGACCAGTCGTGGATATAGTTCCTTTAGAAACTTTACTGCATGTGGATCCACGGACCGATAGTCTCTACAACAAATGGCACAAATATGTAGTCATTTGTCAAAGACTCATACTTGCGCCATTTACTAAATTCGGCTGCCTCTGCCTCTGCCTGAGGTACCCTTGAGATGAGAGGCTGCCAAAGTGTGAACGCAAGTAGCATCCCACACTAGTTTGTATTAAACAAGCTAAAAGCACAATCAAAAAGTAAATAGGGCACATTTCAAGCATACTAAATACTCATTACAAAAGCGGTTCGTGTAGTGTATTCTATCTAAGCTATGTGTTAACTTAAACATCTTAGTAATTCCTTTCAGCCGATGAATACGAGTGGACTAAAATACTCTTACATTATTTACTTTGTTTACTGCGTTACATTATGTTACTTTAGAAGTTCTTTGTGTTTGATAATAATGCCCGAGTACCTAATATCCCTTTTTTATTATTAACTGTGTAATTTCTTTACAATATGTAACACAATTCTCTTATTTGTTGTACTAAATGACAATTAAATTTGTATAAAATGAAAAAATAATTCGTTATCCACCTTTCTTCATCGGCCAGCCTCTACCATTGACTAAAATCCTCAGCTGGCTCACATAATGATTTTTTATATTTACGCGAACACTACACATTTAATAAAAATAATCTTACGGATATTATCGCGTTAATTTTAATCTTTGATCCCACGACGTTTCTGGTGTTTTTTTTTATTTGTATAGCGTAGATGTATTGGTACAACAATATGCTTGGGATCCTATAATTAATAAAATGAAATCCGAACCTAAACACTCCACTGCAAGACTTCAAGATACTGTAAGCTCATTATGCGTAGATTAGTAAATATTCAAGAACTTAAGGTAGCTAGACTAACTACGACATCGGGACTTCAAACATCTCAGTACCTTCCGTGACCATGAGTACTATAAAGCACCCTTAACGTCAGAAATTAAAAAGTTAAAAATAAACTTAGCTTCATTTAACCCACATCTGGATATACGCTTTCCTCGTTGTGGGTAAGATTTGCCTAAATCATCATAATTGACGATCGCAATAAAAGAAATATAATCATTTGATGCTACTGCCCATCGACAGTCTATTTATTTGCGTCGGGCGTAAACGAGATGGTTATACCATCTATCGGAAGTCGGACTTTTTTCCTGTACGTTTTCATAAAACATATCTGGATTTTCACCTGTATCGTAAGAACTTTACATGCATAAATAACACATAGGAAAACATCCTGACGCAAATTAACTATCCATCATACAACTATGTAGTGTCGGTGTAAGAATATCCAATATTCCATATCGACAGAGGGAAAATAAATCGGTTATAAAACTGCGGTTGCAACAATGGCAAAATCCTCCCCAATTTGGAAATCTATGGGAAGCCATGTTCCACAGTGGACTTTAATAGGCTGTAATAGATAGATAGATGGATACAAACACTCCGTACGTGATTTGAACGCGCAAGGTTAAGGCACTACGCCACTAGTTAACCAAGCTGTTCTTTCATGAGTTTTTTACAATTTCATAGTTGTTTCTATTGATATGAACCTTTTTTTTATTACTTTATAAATAATTTTAAAATAGTTTAAATATCTTTTTACTTCTGTATTTTTATTATGTACTTATTCAAGACATTACATTAAGTACAAGCTTTATTAAGAAAATTTGAAATTGGTCGTCTCTTTTATTCAATAAAAATATCTACGTTATTTTAACTCGGCACATAATTTTACCAGTTTCGTTATATTTATCAAATAAATTAAAATAAACTTAAATTTATTATATGAAAACCTCTGTACAGTTAGAAAACCGGCAAAGTTTCTTAAATATTGAAATAACACAAGTTTTGATGAGCTTAGAGAGAGAACTTTGTTTCGTTAACAATGATAAAGCCCGTCAGAATTTATTTGATGTTGAAAATGTACATATTTTTTGTGAAAGTTTATGTAGAAGTTACATTTACTCAGTTATTATAGGAACATTTTAATAATTATATCATATAATTTCAGTTGTACTTAATTTTTTTTAAATATTTAACATCTTATACATAAAAATCTCGTATCACAGTGTTTGTGATCGCCCTCCTCCGGAACGGCTGGACCGATTTTTATGAAATTTTAAATATTTCACATCTTATATATTAAAATCTCGTGTCACAGTGTTTGTGGTCGCACTCCTCCGGAACAGCTGGATCGATTTTTATGAAATTTTAAATATTTAACATCTTATATATAAAAATCTCGTGACACAGTGTTTGTGGTCGCACTCCTCCGAAAAGGCTGGACCGATTTCTATGAAATGTTAAATATTTAACATCTTATATATAAAAATCTCGTGTCACAGTGTTTGTGGTCGCACCCATCCGGAACGGCTGGACCAATTTTTATGAAATTTTAAATATTTAACATCTTATATATAAAAATCTCGTGTCACAGTGTTTGTGGTCGCACTCCTCCGTAACCGCTTGACCGATTTTTATGAAATTTTAAATATTTACCATCTTATATATAAAAATCTCGTGTCACAGTGTTTGTGGTCGCACTCTTCCGGAACGGCTGGACCGATTTTTATGAAATTTTAAATATTTAACATCTTATATATAAAAATCTCGTGTCACAGTATTTTTTTTCGAACTCCTCCGGAACGGCTGGACCGATTTTTATGAAATTTTAAATATTTAACATCTTATATATATAAAAATCTCGTGTCACAGTGTTTGTGGTCGCACTCCTCCGGAAATGCTGGACCGATTTTTATGAAATTTTAAATATTTGACATCTTATATATAAAAATCTCGTGTCACAGTGTTTGTGGTCGCACTCCTCCGGAACGGCTGGACCGATTTTTATGAAATTTTACATATTTAACATCCTATATATAAAAATCTCGTGTCACAGTGTTTGTGGTCGCACTCCTCCATAACCGCTTGACCGATTTTTATGAAATTTTAAATATTTAACATCTTATATATAAAAATCTCGTGTCACAGTGTTTGTGGTCGCACTCCTCCGGAACGGCTGGATCGATTTTTATGAAATTTTAAATATTTAACATATTATATATAAAAATCTCGTGTCACAGTGTCTGTGGTCGCACTCCTCCGGAACGGCTGGACCGATTTTTATGAAATCTTAAGTATTTAACATCTTATATATAAAAATCTTGGGTCACAGTGTTTGTGTTCGCACTCGTCCGGAACAGCTGGAATGATTAGGCCCAATTTTTATGAAATTTTAAATATTTAACATCTTATATATAAAAATCTCGTGTCACAGTGTTTGTGGTGGGGCCATTTTTGTTTCTTAAAAATCTGTTTGCGCACTCCTCCGTAACGTCTGGACCGATTTTTATGAAATTTTAAATATTTAACATCTTATATATTAAAATCTCGTGTCACAGTGTTTGTGGTCGTACTCCTCCGCAACGGCTGGACCGATTTCTATTAAATTTTAAATATTTAACATCTTATATATAAAAATCTCGTGTCACAGTGTTTGTGGTCGCACTCCTCCGGAACGGCTGCGTCGATTTTTATGAATATTTGGTAGGTATGAGAATAGTAAGCTGAAGTGGCAATGGGTCGGCCATATAGCTCGAAGAACCGATAACCGATGGGGAAGAAAGGTTCTCGAGTGGCAGCCTCGTACCGGTAGGCATAGTGTGGGGTGACCCTCCACTAGATGGAGTGACGACCTGGTAAGATATGCAGGAAGTCGATGGATGCAGATGGCTCAGGACCGTGCTTTGTGGCATTACTTGGGGGAGGCCTATGTTCAGCAGTGGATTTGTGAATAGCTATAATGATGATGATGATGATGAGAATAGTTCCTTATGTATATTAAGATCCGGTAGATGGCGCTGTTGTCGAGATCCAGAAATCACTCGTGCAAAACCAGGGCGGAAAACTAGTATTTGCATAATCATTTGCCGAAGCGAGTAGCAGGGTCGACAAAGGACGCTCTAGACGGAAGTTCATCCACAAAGTTGGTGATATATTAAAGATGGGTCAAATTATGAGTAACCTAACGGACGAGTATGTTTTTATAATAATGTGAAAAATTGAGAGAGGTGATTCCGGATCATGACATATGGTGGTCCGTAGTTTTTGCTTATCCCTTTGGGCGTCATATGTAAGAATTATTTATGTACGTTGCATTTTGCCGTTTTTGAGATAGTTTGGTGTTAATCGTTGAATAGTTGGGTTACACAATGAAGAACCAATCCTCGCTTTTGCAGCGTATCAATATTTATGAAAGTGCGGACCGACTTCCATTAAATTACGTGCAAAAATGCGGGTCTTTTGAACAGGCTACATGAAATTAACTGACAGTATCTTTACAACTTTGTCAGAATGGTAATATCCTTCTTTACATTGAAATATACTTATGTGTTAGTGATTAATGAGTACCATTATCTTTACAATCTATCAAAAATGCATTTCTGGACATAGATTATTATAGGTGTTACGCGTGGCAAGAAGCTTGGCATCCGCAGATTTTTATTTGTTTTGAGCTGTTGTCAAGAAGATGAGATTTTCTGTAGTCTCTTATAACAGTATGATATGGAGTAGTTGGCTAGTGGGTATTTTTACACCGCTAATACAGAATACGCTTAACTTAATGAATATAATCCTACTTCGCTTAATAAATAATTTAAAATGACGTTTTTATGCGAGTCCTGTAATACATGTTTTATATTTTTAATTCCTGACGTTTCGGGTGCTTTACAAATAAGTAAAAGTAGTTAAATAAACGCGATAAAATCCGTAAATTTAGTTTTATTCAATGTGTAGTGTTCGCGTAAATTTAAGAAATCAGAATATAATCCTACTTCGCTTAATAAATAATTTAAAATGACGTTTTTATGCGAGTCCTGTAATACATGTTTTATATGAATAAGATTTTATATAAATGTAGTTTTTATAATTTTCGGATAGGGGTTATCCTTACGAAACGTCTTACCTCCATCAATCGTTTTTGTTGCATATGTGTAGATTGTTGAAGCAGTTCCAGCATCGTTTACAGCAGTGACTCTCAGTTGATACCAATTTCCAGGATCAAGGGAACCGACAGCATAAGAGGCAGGAATAGACCGTAAAGGTGGTGCATGGTAATGACCATCGATGAAGCCCCAACCTAAATTTAGTTCCATAGGCTAAAAATGAACGACAAAATTATATAATATTTGTAAAATTTTAATGAAATTAATGTTTGAATCAAAATCATGAGAATATAATTATAGAACAATCAAGGAGATTTTGAACGATATTCGTATGTCAATAAATATAAATATATTATTATATTACCATTATTCATGAATGTAACGTTAAATTATACAAACAATAAACAAAAGCTAAAGTTTTTGATTTTTTTAAATTAAATTAAAGTTAGGCACTTTAACATCAAGAACTACAATACCACTCTGTTCTCGGCTTTTTGCCATTGGTTTGAACCGAGAAGCCTGTATTCCACATCCCATCTTGTCACGTCGCAACCGCCGTCATCCCATCCACTAAGTTGGATGTAAATATGTGTGGCATTACTCCATAGCCAGTCAGTTGTCGGAGGTGATACAGGTGCTATAATTTTTTTTAATTATTAAAATATATTTTAAAACTGCCATAATCATTTTAAATTATATAAGAAAACTGTAACTTGTAAAATATAAAATATTATTTATATTAATAATAGACAATGACATTTTTGCATATATGTGTTTATTGTGTGCCAGAGAATTTTATCAACATGATCACAGGGATCTCCTGGAAATAAGCGGTATCTCTGGCCCAAATACATCTACATCAATCAAAGATTAAGATACGAAATGCAGATGCTTTGTCACCTCTGAGAACTTAGATGAAAAGCCTCTTTCATCATCCTTATTCCTCAATTGTGGATCCGGATCCACTTCATCATCATCATCATTACAGCACTTCACAAGTTCACTGCTGAACATAGGTCTCCCCGAAGTAATGCCACAAAGCACGGTCCTGAGCAACCTGCATCCATCAACTTCCTGCATGTCTTACCAGGTCGTCAATCCATCTAGTGGGGGGTCACCCTATACTACGCCTACCGGTACGAGGCTGCCACTCGAGAACCTTTTTCCCCATCGGTTATCGGTTCTCCGAGCTATATGGCCGGCCCATTGCCACTTCAGCTTACTAATGCGTTGAGTTACGTCGGTCACTCTGTTTCTAGTGCGGATATCCTAATTTATAAGTTTATTACGCAGAGGAAACCCGCAAATCTGAAGCATGTTCACGCAGTATGGAAAAAAATATTAATATATTTATAATTTGTGCCTGCTGGTTTTAATTTAATTATTTAGCATAAGTTAAAAACAGAAAATTTTAGTTAATATACCGATACTGAATAATTTAAGCAATGTAAAATCTCAAATGTATTTGTCATACCTCCTCCCAAGGTTGTAACATCAATATGTGCTGGAGCAGACGTCCCCACGTTATCTGTAGCAGTTACTCTAATTGAATATTTTGTACCACATTTCAAGCCAGCCAGGGCGTGTTGTTGAATGCCCGGTAAACGTGTCTCCCGTGCCACGGGCCACGCTTCCTGCCATGTTCCATCGCCTTCGCGCCAAGTCAAATTATAACCTACAGTTTTTCCTTGTATTTAATTAAAATGAAATTTCATTTACTTAGTGATTACAATATTAAATACTTTTAAAATGTTAGCTTAAGAAGAATAATTAAATTTATTAATCTATACATAAATTGAAATGCCTGTCTGTAATTTCTAAATGATTATCGAGCATTGTTATATTGAATGAACCGATTGTGATAAAGTTCACGAATGAATAGAGACCAATGCCAGGATTGATCTAAGGTATATTTTATTCACAATACTAGAATATCTTTCATTTGTGAAATGGAAAAATTTATATAATAAATGATCATTAGTGATCACTTTAAAAATCTGAATGCCGTCACATTATCAGATCCCGGCTTCACCTGGATAGATCTCCAGTAAGTGTAAAATTTTACTCAAACTATATCTTTGTTAATTCACTAAATGTATTCAGAACTGAAAAAATACTTACTTATTCCATATGTTAAAGAGTCATTTCCATGTAGTTTAATTTCATCCCATTCGACTACGATTGAGTCTTTGTATGGTGTAGCTCTTAATGTGGGTGGATCAGGTAATGGTAAGACCCTTACTGTGTATACGACTGAATCAGACCCGTACAGATTCTTTGCTAAGCATGTATAATTACCGCTCAAGGATTGGTCAATGCCTGAAAATATATCTCGTTAATTTCTGTGCTTAGAATTTAAATACATAAACACTCACGGCTGTCACCCACAAGAGTAGGCAGAAACTACAGAGTTCCATTTGGCACGATCCTGACTACCTCTCTCGCCTCCTTCACATCTATATACCTACGCATACATGCTCGTTGGTTAAGGATACTCCTAATGTGGCATGTGTCAATATATCGCCAATTTGGTCGATAAACTTTCGCCTAGGACGTCCCTTTCCTACTCTGTCGTTCACTTCTGCAACATGAATTTGCTTTGTCACTCTTTCCTTATCCATTTTTTCCACATGACCAAACCATTAAAGCATTCCTTTCTTAATCCTAGTTACAACATCGTGTTTATCATATCAATTTAATTTTAACAAAAGTCCACAATACTAAAAACGTGTTTATTCATAATTGAATATGCTAAAATTTTCTTACCTATTGTGAAGGAAGCTTAAATACATAAATTGCACAAGGAAAAACAAATAATTAGATTTTTTATAGAATAAGGGTGACCAAAGAGCACTTAATCTAGGTAAGTGGTTGCTGTAGCCCATAAACATCTATATTTATCCTCGATTATGAATGAAAACGCAGAACAGTACAAAACAGCATTAAGCTGCTATTGTGAGAGCGTGGCGCTTCCCCGTTTGAGCCGGCCCATTAGTTCTACAACTATACTGCTATTTTTTAATGTTTGTGGTAATTTGCAGTATGGCGTACAAATGATTCTTTCAGGTCCGAAACATTCAAGGCCATACAAATACTTTTCATTTGAAAAACATGCGGCCTTCAACGCCGCTCAAATTTTAATGTTCGATCACAGAAAGATACTCAATTATATAATATTACACATTAATTTTTCAGTGATATTTATTTGAAAATATTATCGTTTAAACCTTTTATGAGAAATTCGAAAATGTATACTGCATCAGCAAAATCCACAAAACCCCTTTTATAATATTAGAGGTATGGGTAAACATTAAACAATTATGCAAACTCATAACCTTTTTTCTCGTTGTTTAAAAATTAATGATTTTTTAATAAAAAAAATTCCAGTAATACTTTGTATGGAGTAATAAAATAAAATTAATATATTGCTGTAATAGTTTTTGTTTTCTTAAAAATCACGTTACAACGTTAGGATTATCTAGGAAAACGAACATTCAGACCTGGAACAATTATTTGAAGGCCATACAAATACTTGTTCCGTGCGTTATTCGAACCCGCGGCGCTCAACGCCGTAACTAATTGCTAAGCTATTGCACCGTGGAGCTGTCGAAACGCAACTATTTGGAAGGTTATCGCTTACCTATTTGTGCATTTTGCTGTAATGTTAAATATAATATAGGAAGTAAGAATATAAGTCAAAAGTTCATATTAATTTATTTGATAAAACAAATCTCTAAGTTCTTAGCTCATCAAAATATAACTCAGCACTGCTCATTTTAATACTCACTTCTGCGAAACCTTTTAGGTTAATGTATGGATTTTTTGTTTTATTCTACTTTATGTACTAAGTTTCTGATCGTAATTAATTAAAGAATAATATAAAATACATCTTACTTTTGATAAGTAAACTATCGTCTCTGTTCCTTGTGAATCGGGGATGATGTGTAATGATATTTTGGTTATGATACCATACTGTCCTGGGTGGAGGAGATCCCACACTCTTACATTCTAAGAGTAGAGAATTACGCACAGCCACCGTGACGTCCCCTCCTAATGAAGCCACACCTGCTACTACTGTCAAATAAAATTTTGATAAAATTACAATGTGATAAAACTAACAAATAACATTTGATATTAGCAAGTTGTATATTACAATATTTTAAATACGATATTACGTAAGCAATGTAATACTGAATAAGTATATTATTAAATATCTTTAATAATAGCCTATAACAGGCTATTATTAAAGATATTTCTATGGGTTGCTTTTTTGTCATCAGACAAAATATATCCTATTCTATATAACTCTTATTAAAGTGATAACTTTTTTAGGCGCGTTGGGCAATTTTTGGATGAGTAAAGTTTCACGAGGTCGCGTGACTGTTAACATGTTAATGTTAACAGTTTATCTATATAGCTATAAGTATAACTTGTGACGTGTATGACATGCACGTGGGACGCTTTTTTAGATGAGCAAAATCTTATGAGTCCGAGTCACCAACACGCTTTAAATAAGTTGTATTTATATTTTGTACAGGAATTGTGTAGCGCATCATATATTTTGGTCAAAACAAATAAAAATGTAACTAGGTAATTTTTGCTAGGAGTGGAGATAGATATGGAAATCAGATTTATAGTAACGTTTTCAAACTTAAAAATCTAAAAAAACATTGTTATTGCAGTTTTAAGTTTTCGTTTAGGTTGGTAGTTCCCAACGACGCTTTTTTTTCAATTTGTTTATATTGAATTTTATCCTCAAAATGAATTTTACCTGAGGGTTAAGAAACTAGTGCTAAATCGATTTAAAGGCTAACTTAATGTTTATCTCAATATTTATGGATAAATAATATATACAAAATATTTAAATTATTGTAGAATAATTGTCCACTGTACTGTGAACATAAATTGTCAACCGAATTAAAAGAAGATAATTAGTTGCCTCTGTTCGTAAATTTCAACAAACCATTTGATGTTCTCAAATAAAAATATTTAAAACGAAATATTATATATTTCTTTTTAAATATTTTTATTTAAACGCAACAAAAAGATAAAATTTGTGAAAATTTTGCTCATTTGGAACTGAAACAGATTTATCTCAGAAGATGGATTTTATCAATACGTATTAAAAAAAATCGAAATAAGGTCTCAATGTTCCGTTATTCTAGAAATGTAATTTTATTTTTTGGTTCTCGTATTTCATGATATATAAATATTAGATGAAAGCAATGAAATTTACTTTGATACGAAATAAATTATTATAAAGCTGAAAGAAATATTTTTAATCTCATTTCAATAATTATTATTCGAGTTTGTTGTCCTCCGGTCTCAACATTCTTAAATCCACCCTCACTGTCACCATATCTCATTCCGTGGGTGTTGTAAGAAGCGATTAAATGGGATATACGAAAAATGTTTTATACTAAAAAAATTTTTAGAAGTATGTAAGGTAACAACAATATACCCGTATGTGTAAATTGCTGTAAAGGTGATCCCAACAAAAACATTTATGTGAAATTGGCTGAATTGATCGTTTATCGTTTTTACATTTTCTACTTTGAATACGCCCAGTAATATACATTGACGCAGAATCTTAAGTTTATAAGTCAAGACCTTTTGTCTTGAATTGACCAAGTGAAGCTTAGGATTTTGATGAGTCATTTAATAAGTCAAAAATTTTAAAACTTTTATTCACGGTTTTAATTAGACGTGCATTATCATGTATGTAATTCTAATAACTTTTGAGTTATGGGAGTTAAAATTGACTTAAAATGGTTGTTGTAAATATAAACCAAACCGGCGCGTCATCATTTTCTTTTGCACATTTAGCTAACCCACTGTGGTATGTCTAGACAAGCGAGCACACGATCCACCTGACGGTTAGTAGACGCTTCGGCCAATGGACACCAACATCTATCCTCAATTTAGAATCAAAATGAAAATACGATGCCACTCTTGAGAAATAGGGTGGAATGCCTCTACCAAAAAAATTGAACATCATTTAAAGAAACAAAACGGATGGTAATCCATTTGTGAATACATTTGCTAATCGTGGCGTTTGCGATAAATCCTCTTATTAAAGGAGAAGGCCTTGCAGTGAACGATAATAAAAAACACGTTAGGAATTTCTCCTATATCATGAAGACATTTTATAGATATAGACTTACATCAATACGGGACAAAACATTATTTTAAGCTTTACAGTTAGTTACTTCCTAGAGATTCAAGCCGAAGCCTATAGCGCCGCAGCGAAACGTCAAATACTGGCTTATTAAAAGTAAAAAGTTATTTATTATTTATTAAAAATATATTTTATATATACACTATAAAATAATAATATACTATACATATAAACTAACGGACTAAATATATGTATAATAAAAAGACGTTTTCGAAGAATATTGAAAATTGAGTAATGAAAAGACTTACCTCTCTGAGACGGAGTATTCGTCACGTGTTTACTTTCAGGTCCTTCCCCTACTGCAGTACTGGCAGTGACCCATACATCGTACTGTCGACCTTCGTATAAAGCTTTAAGTTCCAAAGTTTGTGTCTTTTCATAAACGTCAATTGTTTCTTCTGCATCCACTCTGATCACTTGTGGACCATCATTACTAAAACAATTTAATTATCCTTAAAAGTATTGTGATATTGTGTTTATATCTCAAAGTTTTCAGAAAAATATTTAATTAAGAACCTTATTAAACAAAATTTATGATTTATAATTGTATAAAGAATTGACTTGCAAACAATATTTTTACTCAAAATATTGTTTTGTTTTATAAAATTAATTACCTTGCAGTTGGTTTGCAGTAAACTGTATAATGCAGTAATCTCCCGTTTGGATGCTTTGGTTTCTTCCAGCTTACTAAAAGTGTGTTGGATGATTGCGATAACAGCTTTATCTCAGCTGGAGTATCAGGAACTAAAATTATTTTTATTTTGTTGTTATATTGCATGGTCACATGGTAAATCCTTGTCCTCAAGTTCATATTACTAGCCTTTTTTATAATCGTTCATTAACATTTACTTAATATAAGTATTAATTATCTTTATATTTGTCTTTTCCATTGTCATTTAGTAACGTGAGAGAGAGGGTATCTTTAAGCATTTCTTAAATTGACAGCAACTTTAATGAGTACCAAATGCCGTACGCAATTTAAACGTGAATTATATATACAGTTGAATTATATATAGAGAGGAAATTATGACCACAATCTTTTTGTTTATAACAACAAAAACATTGTGATAAATTAAATCATTAATTTTATAAATAACATAATTATTATTAAAGTAAGTTTCTTTTTGTATTTAGAAAAGCGATCAAAAACCTACTTATTTAAAAAAAAAGTACTTACCGTCCTGAAGAGTTGCACAAACAATAGGAAAGGAAAACGGTCCAGTGCCGTAGTTAGAGAAACCCGCGACTTTGACCGTATAGTTTGTATATTTGTGCAAGCCTTGCAGGCGCAACTCTGTCACAAGAGACGTAGCGTTCTGCCAGTGTCGCGCTGCAAAGTTTTGTTCCTTTACATAAATTTTGAATTACAGAAAGCATTTCAAAGGATACTGCTTCAAATATAGCAGCGTTGGTTCCGTACATTTGTTAGCAATTTAAAAGTGTACAAAAATTTCGAGGTATATAACAAATTACACTTTGTATCGGCTTTGTGATTGATTTTTTACGCCGTATAGTGTAGATGTAAAAAACTTGTAAGCCATATCAATTCCTAGGTATATTTTCTTTCTATTTAAAAAAAAGTCCTCCACACTAGGATTTTGCCCTGTATTGCTTACATACATAAATTTCACAAGAACAAACATCCATTTATAGGCCAAATAAATACTTGTTCCGTGCGGGATTCGAACCCGCGCCGCGGCATTCAGCACTGCATTTCATTGCTAAGCACCTGTGCCACGGAGCCGTCATAGTAACACTGACAGGAGCATCTTTCCGATAATAACAAAACTGCGATTTCCACCTCACTGCCAAGGATACAAATTACGGAATATATTCCTCCTGTCAAGTAATATATTAGGAAGGCCTCATCAGTAGACTTTTAATAGACTGTAAAGAATATGATGATAACAAAATTCTGTATCATTGTTAAGTACTATAATGGGTTGATTTAAATTTTGATTAATTCATTAAAATAATCGTGATATTTACCTTGTGCCGCGTAAAGAACAGTGTAACCAATAAGTGCTCCCGCCTGCCTGTGAGGTGGGATCGGTTGCCAGCTTATTCTTAGAGCAGTGGATGTAACGCCGCTACATTCTACTGATGATGGGCCTTCTTCCGGTGCTGCGTACGAAATATTTATTGATTAAATGTACGATATCTTAAAAATATTTATATTATGTGTACCTTAACTTGTATATTTTTATTTTTTTAATTTAAAATAAAGCTACTTCAGTTTTTTTTTTCTTATGTACGAACGGCATAAATTGAACAACTTATAATTATCACAATGATTTCTTATATTTACGCGAACACTATACACAGATTAAAACTACTTTTACGGATTTTATCGCGTTTTATTTATTATATTTTTTCACCCATGGTCACGGGGGACTGAGGTAACTGACGTTCCGATGTCAAAGTTAACACGGAGTACCTTCAGCTTTTTTATAATTAAAATTATTGTCTTTGGTCCGATCTACGCAGAATGAACTAACTGTGTTTTGAAGTCCTGCAGTGGTATTCTTGGGTTTAGTTTTAATTTTATTAATTATAGGGTCCCAAGCAGGTGGTAGTACCCAGCCTCCTTCTCTATTGAAATAAAGCACACGAAACGTCGGGTATTAGAAAAATATAGTAAATAAAACACGATAAAATCCGTAAAAGTAGTTTTAATCAATTATAATTGTCAATTTAAAATTAGAACAAATACTTATAGAACAAAACCAAGGTATTATAAAATTAAAATGTCATCGTTCGAGCTGCAAAAGCTCAGTAATTGCTGATTGACCAAGTGCTTGGGGGTAAAGGAAAATTCCAAAATGAGAACATATCGCGAGGAAACCTTCACGATGTGTTCTAATTTTAGAAACGAAAATTTTCTCTAGGAGATCTAAAGTTCTTCAAAATATATTAAGGCGGTACGATGGACTCCGCAGACCCTCTCGTGAATGAGAGTAGACATATGTTTAGCAGTGGGTCGTATGTAGACCTTGAAAATTAATACAATTTAATGTTACTTTCAATCATTGAACCATGTAGCAATCCATTTGGTGGTGTTGGTAAGTCGACAACAAAAGGGTGGGGACTAGCTATACGCCTGGTTGTCCGATGGTGGAAGGGATAGGAAGGAATCAAGTTATGCAATTTATTTTACTTTTTTTTCTTTTTCTTTATTATCTCACACTCTCTGAAATGCATCTTGCTGGCTACTTTTTGCCTGAGTTTAAGGCTGGCTAGATTGTTTTAAACAGATTCGGGTCACTAATAAGCCCCCCTAAAAAAAAGCCCCCCCTAAAATCCCTTCCAATGAGTCCAAAGATGCTAGATGGAATCTTGCAGCAGCCCATATATGGCAGCAGTACTCCGTACGGACTTGCGCTTTATATAAAGTAAGCAGCTGTCCCGGCGTGAAGCAACGACACACATTTACAAGGACTTCTTTGCAGCTGTTTTGGCCTTGGACTCAATGAACCGCCCGAATTGCAAGTTTGAGGATATTGCAACCCCCAACAACTGAATGCATTCCATTGATAAATTTGGGATAGAAGGAGTTAAGGTAAGCTGGCTCATTTTTGAAGTGAAGAGACACGCTTATGTTTTGCAGGCGTTGAGTTTCACAAGATCGACATAGCTCCATTCGGAGACTGCCTGTAGTGTGAGATTCACACGCTCAACCATAGCTTCTCTTTCGGACTGGATTTGATTCTGACTGGTCCTAGGACTTTGTATTTCTCCAATTGTGCTGTTATCTGCGCACCCATAGATACCGGGCATAAGCTGATCAATAATATGCAGCAGGAAGAGAGTTGCGGAGAGAACGGACCTCTGGATAATACCGGCGTTAGTCACCATATGATCGGATGAGCAGCCATTGACGACGACCTGGAGATAACGCTCACTCAGAAAGTCCTTTACCCAGTCAATCAGATCAGGGATAAGCCGTACGCTGGATGGAAGCTTACCCAAAAAGCTAGCGTGGCAAACTCTGTCAAAGGCCTTCAATATATCAAGAGAAACAGCTAATGCTTCCCCATTGTTCTCGAGAGCCTGGCCCTATACCTTTAAAATAAATTAACAGTTTAATAGAATATTTATAGATTTCAATTTTTGTTGGAAACACAAAACCTCATAAAATAAGTGACAGTTTCGTAGTGACTTTAATTAAGTTAGTAATAGTCATAAAGCCGTATTATTTGTATAATGATACAAACAATTAGAATAAACATTAAAATAATTATCAAAATCGTAAATTCATGCGACATTACCTCCTTCCCTTGTGTCTTGAAACAAAGGTATGGAGAAAGGGCCAGCCCCAGCGCCGTTGAATGCTGCTATGGAAACTGCGTACCTAATATACATAAAAAAACGAACTAAACAATTTGTTACGGACGAAATTGTGTAAAACTACTTTTTTATAGAATGTACTTTACCTTACACCTTTTAGTAATCCTGTGATAATGGTTTCTTGTTTTGAATACAAAGACGAAGTCTTGATAATTTTGTCGTTTACATCTTGTGTTTCTAAATCAATAAATAATAACGGGTAAATATTTGAATAAATTAGAATAATAGAAACAAGCACAAGCTACTATATAAATACCAGCAATTCAACTCCAAAGTGTCAATTATTTCTTTATGAGGAAATATATACGTTTCTACAACAGAGTCTCAGAAAATATTTATAATTGACTTTTAATAAGTGAGTATTCTTATAATGAATATTGAATAAAATTATTTTATTCTATTCTAGAACAAGAACTAAAACCCAGAGATATTTGCAAAGCCAGACGAGGGCAAATTTCTCTGCAATTAACGTCATCCACAGCTATTTCAGATTTTATTTGGCATAATAACATAACAAATATGCCTAATAAAAAAATGTGGACTAAATTTGAACAATTTAAATTTCTTGTTTTTTTTAACGGTTATAACTAAGAAATCGTAATAACAGACCTTTTACTCCGTTGATTTGTGGTACAGCTCGTAACCTGTACCCTATAATTAATCCGTTGTGAGTATCAGCAGGTGGAGGCAGCCATTTTGCTTTTATTTCTCCTGGTACGTCTGTTTGCTCTATTTGCACAGCTAATGGAGGAGACGATGGAGCTGTACAGAATTAAAGTAAGAAATTAACGTTAAATACACTTACACTTACACTTACACTTATCTTCACGCACAATCCCTAACGGGGTAGCCAGAGAGAACAGATCGCCAAGTATCACGATCCTTACATACCTCTTTCGCTTCTTTCAGGTTCATTAACTTCTTCATACATGCACGTCTAGGTATCCGAGTACTCTTGACCCTCCCCTCTTCGAGCAATTTGCTCACATGGTCTTCGAAAGTTAGTCTCGGTCTACCTCGACACCTTTTAATATTTACTTTCGCTCTATATATTTTCTTCACCATTCGGTCTTCACTCATTCGTTCAACGTGCCCAAACCATTGGAGTACGCCCCTATCAATTTTTGTGATAAGGTCATCTTTCAATCCTGCCATATCGCGAATCTCTTCGTTTCGCTTTCGGTCGGCTATGGTAACGCCACACATTTTACGAAGAGCTCGCATCTCCACTGCATTCAACTTGCTTTTATGCTTTTTCTGGCATACCCAGGTTTCGCTGCCATATAACAAAGTCGGTACCAACACTGCGTTATGTATTGCAAGGCGTGCACTCTTCACCACGCCTTGCCTTTTTATTAATGCATTCAGGGCACCATTGACTTTGTTTCCGGCAGCGACACGCCTATCCACATCTAAATCACATCTTCCATCCCGGCTGAAAGCACTCCCCAAGTATACAATTTCATTTACCTGTTCTAGACATTCCTGATTTACCCATATTTCACATTTCGTTCTCTCTTCGTCCTTTTCAAATACCAGAACCTTAGTTTTATTAGCATTCAAACTGAGACCTTTTAATTTCACATTCCTCTTTCATACACGTGACTAATGCCTGCAGTTCTGCTTCTGATGGTGCAATAAGCACTGCATCATCAACATACAGCAGACAATTAACTTTTATGTCACCCAATTTCACACCCAAACAGCTATTTTTCAGCTTCTGTAAACAGCTGTCGAGATACAGTATGAACAGCCAGGAAAACATGACACAACCCTGTTTTACGCCCGCTTGGACGCTAAACATGGGTGACAGGTCATGCCCTACCCGCACAGAGGCTTTACAGTCATAGTAAAGTGACTGCACAGCCCTTAACAATCGACCATCCACACCATATCCCGGCAACAGTTCCCACATTTTCTTCCTTATAACCTTATCAAATGCTTTCTCCAGATCCACAAAAGCACAGAAAATCCTCTGGTTAACACTCAGAAGCTTCTCCGTGATCATGCGGAGAGAAAACATTTGATCCGTGCATCCTCTTCCAGGTCTAAATCCGCATTGTGCCTCCCATAAGAATCTTTCCGATTTCTCTTGCATCCTACGTGTCAAAACCTTCGAGTAAACTTTACTTGCTAAACTGGTCAAGCTGATCGCCCGATAGCAACCGCAGTCAAAATGTGAACCTTTACCTTTATATAAAGGCACAATGACCGCGGATCGCCAATCATCCGGGACATCTCCCGTCCGCCAGCACAAATTGCACAGCAGATGGAAGCTGTCCCAGACGCGAGGCCCACCGTACTTGACCATTTCAGCAGTAACTCTGTCTAGTCCCGCAGCCTTACCACATTTCAAACTTCGAATCGCACGTTCAATCTCTTTCATGCTGATGACCTCAGTGTCATCGAGGTCTGTGTCTGGCGTGCCAGTCACGGCGTCACCCCCGGATCCTTCACTAAGATCATGACACGCATACATTTCTCTATAAAATTCACTCCATCGCTGCATGACGTCCGATTTTTCTGAGAGGACGTCATTGGTTCTCGAAAGCACTTTGTTCATTCTTAAGGCTGTCGCACCACTCCGGGACCTTCCAACCTCTTTCCAGAAGAGTTTGGAGTTTTCCCTAAAGTTGTGCGACAACTTCTCATCCGCTTCTATTCTACACCTTTCACGTACTTCCTCAATCAATGTTTTCGCATGAACTTTCTGCAGCTTATATCTTTCTTTCATCTTCTCTCTCATATGCTCATCGTTACTAGAGGCCAAGTAGTCTAACCATGCTTTTTTCTTCTTTTTTTACAGCTTCTCTCACTTCATCATTCCACCATGCATCTCTTCTTTTACTACTACCTCTTTTTGTCGTACCACATACTTCTTCCGCTGCACTTACCATTCCATCCCTAAGGTTCTGCCATGTTCTCTCCACACATTCTTTCCTGCCATCGATGGTGTCAAGCTTTTCAGCTGCCCTCGTGTGATATTTGTCCCTAGTATTCGCTTCCTGAAGCTCCCAGCTTCGGAGCGTCAACCCGCGAACAAACCCCTAAATCTAGTAATTACTAGATAATGATCCGTTCCCAGGTCAGCACCCCTGAACACTCGTGTATCCATCACCTGTTTTCGCAGTCGGTCATCCACCAGGAACAAATCAATCATACTTCTCTCCTTCTTTCTTTCTCTATTTTCCTGTGATTAAACATAGTGTTTGTCACAAGAAGACCCTTTTCCTTGCATACAGCCAGTATAAGCTTGCCAGCATCATTAACCCTTTTATCGCCAAACTTTCCAAGCACCGACTCGTATCCTGGTCGAGCGATACCTACCCATCCATTCAAATCACCACTTACAACAGTTCTTTCGTTTCCCTTAACCAAATCTAGAACTTCTCTTACATTCTCCCAAAACTCCTCCAGCTCAGCCCTGGACAACGAAGCTACCGGCGCATAAACAGCCAAAAGGAATAACTTCGTCAGTCCCATTTTGAAGCGAACCCAGAGAAGTCTTGAGTTCACAACCTTGTATTCAGTCATAAGATCTACCAACCGGGACGACAACAGCACTCCCACTCCCTGGCAGGCGTTCTCGTTTTCCGGGACTCCGGACCATATAGCTAACGTCCCGCCAGGGAGCTCTTCAGTACCACTGCCTTTCCGTTTGGTCTCCGACATACACACGACATCTAATTCTCTTTCTTTCATTATTTCGATCAACTCATTCGTCTTATCTCTCATGCCCCCTCTAACATTCCACGTGCCAACTCTGCACTCCGTCCTCCACCTTCCGCCGTGTCGGGCTGTGCGTGACGGGTGGCGGTCCCCATCGCCGCTTTGCGCGCTGCATTCCACACCAACGGGGACGAGCTGGTGTGCGTCGCCTTGGGGGGACGCCCTAACCCTCGTTTGCATGGGTGCGCAGCTGTGTAGAATTGCAGCCCTGAAAAGGGCTGGCAGGGGTCGCGACGAGCACGCTTCTACAATGACCCCCTTAAACGTTAAATACACTTAGCAAATAACAAATTATATCGCAGTTAATTTCTAAGCCCAAAGATCCTAATAAAAAACGTAAACTTACATTTACTTCACTTTCACTGTTAAATATTAATTCGTTATTAAATAATTTCAAAAGATTGATTTGATTATGACAATATTATACCTTCTTCAGTAGTAGTAAATTTTACGGGTGAGGAAAAAGAGCTAAGGTCTGCTTGGTTTCCTCCAGCTACTCTAACTGTGTAAGCTGTCGCTGGCAGTAAATCACCAACTTCAACAGTGTGACGTATCTCATCTAACCTAGACAAAGATTCAAAAATTATTTAAGTTGAATAATACTTTTATCTTTATTCCTAGACACTTTCAAAACAAGCTTCATATAATAAAACAGCAGTGATCAAGTATACAATATCATTTAAAGCTTCTATATTACCTACAAGCAGTAAGTGAGTACTAAATATTACCGTGTCACATTTATAGTTTTAGCATTATTCCAAGATAGGCGTTGACTAGTCGCAATTTGTAAACTGTAAAATTGGGCTAAAGATCGCGGCATATCAATCCATGATAGTTTTACTGACCGACTTTTAATTGAATCCACTGTCAGGTCTGATGGGGGCAGTGGTGGTTCTAAAAGTTTAAAGTAGCTTTATTTATGTCACACATATTTAACTATTTTAAATATTAAGATTAAATGAAATTACATTTTCAGGAAAACTAAATTTTCAAATTCTACGATTTTACCTAATATGGTCAAATATACACTGTAAACATCTGCACCATAAGGATTTCCTGCTCTACATTGATAAACAGCGCCATCAGTAGTCTCCGTTTGTAAAATTTCTAGAACACTTGTCATGCCTTCGTCTGATTTAGTCTCAGATATTTTAATTCTGAAAAGGGTATTTATTTTAAACAACAGTAATTATTATATACAACAATAAAATCTAAAAACTAAATGTTATCATATTATAGCAATAATTATCATAATTATCATTTAGCAATAATTTTTGTGGTATAATGTCAAGAACTCGAAGGTTAAAAATTTTAGTAAAGAACCAGCCCCATCTAATCAGTGGCAGTGATAAGTCACGGATAAAGTTGCTTTAGAAATAATACAAGTCAGAAAAACAAAGCGTAAGCACATTATAATCACCACCATTACAAACACTCACAAATCATCTGCACAACTTAGGCTCCTTCCAAAACATGTAACATAACACGATATTTTGAACCACCTTCATTCATACATCATCATACTATATCTGACGCCGGTCTGGTCATTTCTATCGAAGAATTCAGTTTCATTTTCCGTCTAACACACATTAAGTCAATGAAGCATGTACATCTGCGGCGAGTCTTGCAAAACTTATCTCAAATCACATCGACAATTTCCACATTCTTGTCATTTATATATTTAGTGTGCAAGTAAAAAGTACGTAAATGTGTTATAACAAACAAAAATATTAGCAAATTTAATATGAATAAATTTTAGATATCTCATTTAAAAGGTTATTTTTAACCTTAAATTAAAAAAATATACTTATAATTTATTATACCCCGCTTTGAATACCAGATTTCTTTGTAATTGAAGCTCATAGGAATTTATTTCATAATTTTAAAACTTCGTTACTCAATATCAGTATCAAATAAGGTTCGATAATTCAAGTGTATATAATCCTATCTTGTTAATTGTGTAAGGTGGGTTTCTTCGTAATCGGTTTAGAAGCCACCATACACATCACATCAACCTTAAATGATTTAGTTTACCCTTAAGTGCTTGCTATAGATTAAAAAATTGAGGGTAAAAAAAGCTTTAAGAATAGAAGAAATGCTTAAAGAATTAAATTGTGAGAAGAAATAATATTTTTTTGCCCATGCTTCTAAGTAAACTATATCGATGTTACCTTTGGGTTAGAGGGTTGATTGGCTTTGCATTTCTTGTCCACATAATTCTAATAGGATCGTCTCCTTTTGCCTGACATTCAATTGTAATATGTTGCCCTAGTTTTGCCGTTAAATTTCTAGATACCATATCAAATGTAACAGGTTCTGTAACAATATGTATATAATATAGTTAATTTCATAAAATCTGTTACAATTTAATTAAAGCTACATTACCTTTATATATAAGTGAATGTATTACAGACTGATACAATTCTCTTGGGAAGAAATTATTAGTTTTTTTTTTAACTCAGTATTTTTTTCTGAGTTTTCAAAACAATTGTAAAATACTTACTATTAACTGATATCCAAATAGTCTTGCTTAAAGGATCACCGACGCCGTTTTCAACGTGACATGTGTACAAACCAGCATCGGATAAAGCAACAGCGTCAAATATTAGTGAACCGTTGGATAAACTAAGAACTCCCCCCGCCAGCTACTTCCAAAACGGGACGCCATGTATCGGATATCACTGATGTAAATACAACATAAATTAATATGTGTTAATTTTTATGCATATTGCATTATTTGTTTACAATTATAACCACGTACCATCTTTTTTCAACCAATGCGTCTGTGGTTGAGGATATCCGTTAGCACTACAGGATACATGTCCGTTTCTACCCAGAAGTAGGGACGTATTGTGTGGTTCTTCACTCCATTTCGGAGCGACTGTACAGAAAAATAAATTTCATATAGCTGAAATCTTTGTGAAACAGAATTTTATTTACATGCATGAAATTATCATATCGATTTTAATTGCCCTCGAAAAACAATAAATAAATCAAAGCAGTACCAATGTTTTCCCTAATATCCTAAATTATCATTAGTATACGTAAACATTTATCATTAACTTGATGTATATTATGTGGTTTATAATAGGTAGCAGTCATTGAAAAAACTTTTCGCCTTTCTTCCTGCTCCTCGTCGCCATTTGCCGTCATTGCTCTTTTTATAATACTTCTACTTGATGTCAAGTAGCTACTAGACATATATATCTAACTTCAAAGAAATAAGATTATAGATATGTTGTCACCCTTCTAGACTATAACGAAATGACATACGGCCTGTAATTATACTGGCTCTCTTACCGTTCAAACCAGAAAGCAGCAAAAGGTGTACTGCTTTGAAAACGGAAATATTTATAAAGAGAACAGAGAAAAGTCCTACTACATAAAAAAGTGAAGTATGGCATTTATAAAATAATTCCAATGTCTTTGAAGATTTTTTTATAGAAGAAGGGGCAAACGAGCATACGGCTCACCTGATGGTAAGTGATAACCGCCGCCCATGAACAACTGCAACACCAGTGGAATTGCAGATGCTTTGCCAGCATTTGAAAAAGGAGTAGGCTCTTTTTTGAAGGTCTCTAAGTTGTCCTAAAGTCCGGAAAAATCTCTGGTGGTAGTGGACTCCACAAGGAAGTTGTACGGGGAAGAAAACTTCTTTTAAATTGCATGGTGGTGGACCGCCATTCATCCAGATTGTATAGATAGTATCGTGAGTTTTGTCGCGATGTAAGATGGTGAAATTGTGTGGCTGAAATTATACCGCACAATTCCTCAGAGCACTCCCCGTGGTAGATGCGATAAAATACGAAAGAGATGCAACATCTCTTCGCAGTACCGGTGAGTTAAACCGATCGGAAAGAGCTCGGTCGCCGACGATTCAAACTGCTCTGCACTGAATGCGATCAAATGGAAGGAGCTGGCACTGAGGAGCCCCCGCCCAGAGATGGGAACAGTATTCCATGTATGGCTGAAGCTGCGCCTTGTAAAGTTGCAGGCGGCGACATGAAATACTGTCCCGCTCTGCTGAGCACGCCAAGCTTTTAGAGGCCAATTTGGCCTTCTCTTCCAAGTTATCATGAAACTACACATCAGTCGATATGACGATGCCGAGGATTCCGATACTGGCTAAGGCAACAAAGCGAGTGCCTTGAAACTGAGAAGATACGACGAAGGGAAGATCATAAGATGTGGACACATCCTTTAAATTAAATTAAGGTTACTTAAGATGAAACGCAGTAACTTTATGAAACAATAATAATAATAAAAATGATTACCTTTTATATACAAATTAACAGTCCTGTTTACTTTCGCCACGTGATTTGCGGCTACACAAGTATAAGTTCCACAGTGTTCAAGTGACACGTTTTTAATAATGAGTACACTGAAAACTTCTAAGCTGCGCTCCACAATCTGAATTCAAATGAATAAAATTACTACTGTTCCTACCATTGACCAAAAGACAATATTATATAGGAATTTTAATATGTACTTAACTACTATTATGTATTAAAATGTGCAAAATATTTATTAGAATCAGATATCATAGAGATAAAAATATGTAGAAAACATCTTTATTAACTTTTCTAAAGTTTTAATGGTTTTGATTTCTGGGTATCATATCTTCATGTTTTGAAGCCCCTAGAGTATTGATGTTATTATTTAATGGATATCTGTGTTTGTGAGTATTTGAAATTCAGAGAATATTTTTTCTTATAATATTTCGGGAGCCAATAATAACATCGATTCCAAACCAATTACATATGAAGCGTAACACCTGATGAACTTTTAACATAAGAAAAGTGATATGTTTTTGTGTAAGCTATGTGAAAAGAAGATGAAATCCAAAATTTCTTAGTATTATACTAAGAAATATTGGATCAGTAAATAAAAAAGTAATAAGTAAAGACACAAAACAAAAGTTGTAGTGCCGATATTAATTGAATAAACTGAACGGTATTCAACTTTATATTGTCAAACCCTACAACAGACAATGATCGTGTTGTTTAATTTTAAGTTGAGTTAGTTGTTTTATATGTATTGCTCTTATTGTCTAATAGTCTCGTAGTCTTGTTTTGGAACTGATCTTAAATCTGTGTATGAAATCCGCTATTAAAAATGTTATTAACTTAATATTACGCCAAGCATTTGCAAATTGCCATCAAATGAGCGATTAATGATAGTGTGGGCAGAATATATTGTGCTTTTATTTCTTACTTCTTTGTTTTTATTTAAATTGTTATTATAAGTTACTTTAATGTCCATCAATGTATTATTCTATTTCCGAGTTTGATTTATAGTTAACAATGAGAGTTACAGTGTCAATAAGTATAATTTATAATCTTATAATTTGCTAGCTGATACCCACTGCCTTTGCTGTGCGCAAGATAATACCCGATTAAATTTTAATCAATTTTGTGTATAGAGATATCGTGATGAGTCAGTCTATAACAATAAAAAGTTTTTATTCCTATTAAAGAGGTAAAGTCCTCAATTTCATATGATTTTAGAATTTCCAAAAAAACTATCAAAATTTACCTTTAAATGTGTAGGTATCTTTTTTACCATCTTTTAACCAAGAATAATACACCGGAGAATCGCCACTTTTCAGATTGCAGTGAATTTGTACGATTTGTCCTTCTCTCAAATCTGATGCTAACAAAATTTCTTCTAACTGTGGAGCTTCAACTACTTGCAATTCGAATGATCTTTTTGCCATTTCACCAGATGGACTTTTCACTATGCAAGCATAGGCTGCCCCATTGTCACTTTTTGTAACTTTTGCTATATTTAATACACCATCTCTGGATACTGTAGCATCACGTTTTTGTCTTAATTTTGGCTTGCGTCCAAATATTTCTACACTAAGGGCAGTATAATTGATAAATCTTTTATAGCGATGCGCCTGATGCGTAGCATCTTTTGCTATCTCTTTACCTTTGTGCTCCCATATAATTTCTCTAAACAGAAAATAAATTAAATAGTTGAATTAATTACTTAATGGATTTATACTTTAAAGTATTTATAATAAAAAAGTACCTAATGGGGTAACCATAATATGGGCAACGTAGCGTGACACTCTGACCACTTTGCACCTTAAACGGTGGTAATGTTCGAATATAAGGCGGTCCTGGCAAGAAAAATATTTTAGTAATTTTACGATTTATAGTCAGTAGTTTTCACCTCTTAGCTACTAAGTGGCCGAATTTGGTCGCGGCGATATTCCGTCAAATACCAATTGACCGAATTCGGTCGCACCCACCCACAGCACTTAACCCATAAATACTTATGGTTAGAGACTACTTTCTATGAAGAAATTTGGCACTATAGGCTCAATATGAAATTTTCTATTCTCTATTGCAATAAAAAGTCAGTTACTCTATGGTTATTTATTTATAGTCTACGTTTATTACGTAAGCAATTCTCGTGTTTTGTTATTTTGTTTAGTTGTGTTGTTTTTTGGATTTTTTTGTGTTTTATAAATGTTTTAGTATATTGTTTTAATATAAAATTGATTATGAAAGTTTTTATGTGAACATAATTTATCTTTTACGTAAACAATTTCGAGTAATATATACAAATAATAATGATTTTTACGCTGCTGACATCCGCTTCGTATGTCCCCTTTTTTGTATGTTATCAAAATACAATCAAGTCTTTTTTGTAATGAAGTAAAACCTGACTTTTGTTTAGAGCACAGAATAGAGAATTTTATATAGATTTTATAATGCCAAACTTCTTCATAGAAAATTAGTGTCTAAGCATAAGTGTTAATGGTTTAAAGTGCTATGGGTGGGTGCGGTAGCATGCGACCGCTCGGAATATGACGGACTGCGACTGCATGGGATTTTATGAGGATTGAAGGGTCATGTATTTAATAATATTTGTTTTGTAACAAAAACTAATTCATGCATTGTTATAGAACTCACCGTATACATTAACCCTATCTTGGTGGGCAATAATGGTTTCACCTTGATGTGCAACACATGCGTAAAGGCCACCATCATCAACTCTTATATGTGATATATTTAACTGCGTCGTTACACCACCATCTAGTGTCATAGTTTGTCCTATTATATACCTAAAGAAAATTTATATTTTGTTTTTAATAATATATATTATTTCTTAAAGATAACAGTTGGTAATTTTAAAAACTTAATAATATATAGATATAATTGTTAGTTATAAATATAAAAAGTGAAAATCTTTGTACATGATAATTGAGAATAAAAATGAGAGTCATGACTTTGATTTATGAAAAGTTGTGTTTTTAAATCAGATGTATATTGAAAAAAAAAGTCTTAAAAGGAAATACAAATACCGTGCATTTGTTTAACTATCGGAAATATATTTTAATATTATTTATTAAAATTTTACTTTGTATATTTTACCTGGAATCTGTGTTCGAAGAAATGACTATGTTGTCCCTTTCCCACACAAATCTTGCTGGATGTGGGCCATTGACTGTACAGTGTAAATTCACCTGGCATAATGCAAAACATATTAAGTAATCTTTGTTTCTTTTGTTTTATAAAACGTTTCAATTATATTTGCATAAAACTATCATAGTCCTATCATCATCATTGTTACATCAACTCCAAATAAGGCCACTATGAACAAAAATCGCCCCTAAAGCCTTCGACAAAATATATTGAAAAACCACTTGCATTCATTGACTTTAAACATGTTTTATCGGTTCGTCACGCCATCTATTGGGAGCGGCTCTATACTGCACTTAATAGATTTAAAAATTTATAATTATCATTTATGACATAGTGTACTGCATAGAATACTATAATAGAACGGGGAATGGGCGGAGCCCAAGTAGCCACTAAAATGTCACTAACACGTCAATTCACACGTATAACTGTCAACACGAGAAGTGTTTTGACGTTACAATCGTTTCCAAATTTCTTCAAATTTCCAAATTATTTAGAAAATGCTAATTGCACACTATTTACATATATAAATAAATATGTATTAAAATTTGTCTGTCAATACAGCGAATAGGGTTTGTAGTAGTGATAATACGACGTTATTGATGTAACTTGGAGCACACATGCTCCCGGCGACGCCTATCGTCGTATAAAATAAGTTTGACAGCCATTCCATTGTGTATTATATTCTATAGAACTGAGGGATATTAATCTACGTAGTTTATCTACAATAAATTTGACTTACGTCAACTCCCGGAGTAACAGTAGTCTCACTGAAGTGTTCAGAAATTAACATTTGCGACCTTCTTTTGTACCTCCTTTGTCCAATTCGTGTAGTATCTGTTGAAACATTAAGGCTAGCCTATATTTAACTTTAAAATAAATAAGTCAAACAGTAAAAGTATTATTGCCTTTTTGAAAAAAAGTAACAGCCTACTTAATATTTTCTACAGCTAGGCATTCATTGAATAAAACTACTTTTTTGAATTTTCCCTTTTTTTATAATGCTCGAAACCTTAACAAGCCCAATTGTGAAAACAGTAAATGAAAATAACTGACTGTGTAAAAAGCAATAGGTAGTATAAGAATAGAAAAGAATTCAAATATACCCTATGTGACGAATAACACGAATTTTATACTATTCCATACAAATGTGAAAATCCATAAAGCCGTTTAGGTTACAGAAATATGTATACTCGAGAAACTCTAAAATTAAACGCGAAAAATCCATATGTGGTTTTATTCAATCATGCAGCAAGTTGTTTCACTGCACTAACAAGTGTTCATCATCAGCCCACGTCGCATACTTCGCGGAATGCTCTCTCCTGAAACTATAATTTTACTCTTACAATAAATTATGTTAGTGTAGTAAGTATTTCAAATCGAATGAACATCGTTTTGTATATACATGATGGTATAAAAATCGTTGGCATCCTTTCAATCTATCATGGTACTAATATTGGGAAACATTTTAAAGTATATTACGTTTTTGTTTAATTTGTTCCGATTACATGCGACCTTGAATTTGTATTTGTCCTTACCATTGTCCATGAGCAATTTTGCAATTTAAAAATAATAATAAATAATTTTTGAAAATTTGCTGGAATGTTAAGGCTTTAAATTTTAATTATTTAAGTACCAACTTAGTTGTAATCACCAGTATATTCTTTGTTTAAAAACGAAAATTATTTAAATTTTAGCCTGCATATTGTTTAAACACCAAATTAAACAATTACTTATGATTCATTCAAAAAGTACTATGCGAAAAGTGAGGATTTTGTTAACTTGTTTCTGTGGTTAAAATAATCACTATCATACGTTGAAAACTTTTAGGATTAATTATCATAGAAATAATCAGATATAACATAGTAAAAACCACATTTATCAATATTAAAATTTATTGAATGTTTGATAAATCGTTCTTTTGCAAAACAAGAAGTGGATCATTAGAAAAAATAATTGAAGGAAATCAATACAAAACATAAAATATATCGAAGCTCACGTTTTCTTACCATTATTCGAAGGCATCTCATTCGAGCCAAGTTTTTCGTCTGCTATTATACTTTTCTCGATATCAGTTATCAATCTGAAAGAGAAACACCCGAGGCTCCAATTATTTTTAATGACGTGTAATTGAAACTTTGGAATCTAGATTTAACATAGTTAAATGAAACGGAGACTGATTTTTATAATCTAAATTAGCAACAATAGAAAAGACGCTACTCTTTATTTTTAGTAAACATAGGACATTGTTAAATCTCGCCTAAGAACCAACATACATTTGACAATTACTAAAATTCTTATCCTTAATTATGCATTAGATAACATTTATTAGATAGTAACGGACACTTCTGAATTATGGAGTCAAAATAAAAAGCTTAAAATTTTTTGGATTTTAAGCTTTGTACGTATTTTTTATTAATTTGCTGCGTCTGAACTCCTGTGATTTGGGCAATCGCACAATACCTCATACATTTAACAGTATTTCAAAAGTTGTCATAAACATACATAATATACATAAACACTCACGCCTGTCACACAGAGGGGTAGGCAGAGACTACGGACTTCCATTTGGCACGATCCTGACATACCTCTTTCGCCTCCTTTACATCCATATATCTACGCATACATGCTCGTCGGTTAAGGGTACTTCTAACGTGGCCCCTTTTCAAAATATCGCCAATTTGGTCGATAAACTTTTCTCTAGGGCGTTCCTTCCCGACTCGGCCGTTCACATCTGCCATATAAATTTGCTTTGTCACTCTTTCCTCATTCATTCTTTCTACATGACCAAACCACCTAAGCATTCCTTTCTTAATCCTGGTCACAACATCATCTTGCATACAACATTTATCTCTTACCACGCAATTTCTCACCCTGTCATTCAGATTCAACCCTAGAATACTCTTTAAAGACCGCATTTCTACAGCATTTATTCTTCTTTCTTGCTTCTTCTGCCACACCCAGCTTTCACTACCATACATTAAAGTAGGGACTAACACAGCATTATGAACAAACCATACGTGCCTTTTTTGACACATTCTGGTTCTTCATGATAGAGTGTAGTGCCCCATTCACTCTATTCCCTGCATTTACTCGTCGTTCTATATCCCTATCATATCTACCATCCCTGCTAAATACACATCCCAAATACACAAACTCATCCACTTGCTCAATTAACTCTCCTTCTATTCTTATTTCACATACCGTTTTGCTTTCTTCTCTTTCAAAAACCATCACTTTCGTCTTACTTGCGTTCACTTTCATTCCCCTTTCTTTTAATTCCCAGTTCATTAATGTAATCATCATTTGCAACTCAGACGCCGATGACGCAAATATGACTTGATCATCGGCATACAAAAGGAATTTGACGGTTAACTCGCCCATTCTTAACCCACATTCTTCATCTTACAAATTTTCCAAACAACTGTCTATAAATAGGTTGAACAGTCAAGGGGAAGCTACACATCCCTGTCTGACACCTTTTTGGATGCCAAACCAGTCCGAGTAGACCCCATTGATCCTGACACAAGCACTAGAGTCCCTATAAAGAGATCTTAATGCCTGTATCAAACCAGCGATAAACCCATATGAGTTCAGTGTTTGCCATAACACATTCCTGTCCACTCTGTCATAAGCCTTTTACAAGTCCATGAACGCACAAAAAACCTTCTGGTTTTTGGCCAGAAACTTCTCCGCAATCATGCGCATGGAAAAGACTTGATCTGTACACCCCATTTCGTTTCTAAAACCCGCTTCCACATCCCAAATTTTTCCATCAGTTTCTTTCATAACTCTTTCAATTAACACCTTAGCATACAGTTTACCCACAATACTAAGCAAGCTGATTCCACGGTAGTTTTTGCAGTCCTGCTGTGGCCCTTTTCCTTTATATATTGGTAACATAACTGCTTTACACCAGTCATCCGGTACCCGTTTTAATTCCCAACATAAATTAAACAAGGTGTACAGCAGGCATGCTACCACTCCCTCTCCAGTCCTTAGCATCTCGAGTGACTCTATCATATCCAGTTGCCTTACCTGCTTTCATGCTTTTCATTGCTTTCATTATTTCATCTACACTTATCTCCATACCCCTTTCCACTTCTTTCGGAATTTCTAGTTCATTTAATTCAAACGACTCTTCACTCATAAACACGCTTTCAAAGTATTCCTTCCATCTGTTTAAATTCGAAGCTTCATCATTCAGAATACATCCATTCTCGTCTCTTATAGTATTCATTAGAGGCTGTTTTGTATTTCCCTTGGCAGTTCCTACGAGTTTCCAGAACATTTTTATGTTAGCCTGGAAATTATCAGATATCCTTCTATCATTCTTATCCGTTCTTTCTCTCTTTTTCCTTTCAACAACTTCTTTTACTCTCTTATTTAGACGTCTAAATTCTGCCTTTTTTCTTTCAATCTCATCATTAATAACAGAAGAATTACCAGCTTTGGTTGCTAGTAAATCTAACCATGCTTTCTTCTTTGATTCAACTTCCATCCGTACCTCATCATCCCACCACAACTTTCTCTTACTTATACCACATACTTCGGTGGCGGCATCCACCAAACCTTTCTTAATATTATCCCACACAGTATTCAAGTCTAAATCATTCATACACAACTCATTCAAACATCTAAT